ATTGTGTTTATCTGCAGTTAGTTACACGAATTCAGATATGGGATGAAATTGGATAGGGATGAATGAGTTTAAGAGTTTTTAAGAGTTTAAGAGTTTTTAAGAGTTTAAGAGTTTTAAGAGTTTTTAAGAGTTTAAGAGTTTTAAGAGTTTTTAAGAGTTTTAGCCAAATGCTTTATAATATAGTATAGATATATATATATATATATATACATAATAATAATAATAAAATATAATATATTATTATTTGACTTTGACATTTGAATGACTTATATCAATTGTAATCCCCAAATTTTAATATACAGTTATTCCACGTTAACGATTAACACTCTCCTTAAAAAATAGTCAATTACACCGATAGTCCTTATTGTTTGCTCAAAATTTTGATTTAATCATTAAAACAAACTATATACACTACACTGATAGTCTCTAACTTTTCAATTTATAATACTTAAAATATTTGAAGTTAACATCGTTCATTAACAACTGTTAAGAGGGACAAATCAATCTTTAGACAAATTTTAGAGACTAAAAATGTAACTCACAGTCTCACACTGTAATTAATTGTGATTCGCCTATTTTTTAAATTTATACATTAAAAATATTTTAAATACGATTAAAAAAGAATATTTTGATTATCATATCAATTTAAATTGTTATAGCTTATTTACAATTATTTGATGATTTAATTTAATAATATATCACAATATTTTAATTTTTAAAGCATTATTATTTTTCATAAAAAATAATAATCTTAATAAACAAATTTTAATATACAATTATTCCACGTTAACCATACTTAAAATATTTTTAATAAATAAATTTTTAGAAAAAGTGTGAATCACAATTAGGCCCTGATTGCTTTTTTTTTTTAAGTCTGGATCGTTTAGACATATCTATTTTTAGACTGTTTGTTTTTTTCTTCAAAATAAGAGTTTAAATGATGTTTAATTTCTCTCAATTTTTAAATGATAAACCGATCACTTAATACATCTTAAATCAACTCTTTATCGCCGGTGGGCTATCTTACAATGATCTACGATTCTTCTCACGACCAACACAATACATAATCAAATTTTGAAGGGGACGAAGAAGGTCACCATCTCCTGCTGATATCCCAATCTTCTCTTCTACGAATCTCATGATGAAATTGTAATCAACGGAATAGATTTTGATTTCACAATACAACTGATTTCAACTCCATCCACCATAAGGAAAACTCCTGATTTTTTTTTTTTGTTATTTGACTAAAACCTTGAAAAAAAAATACAAATCCATGTTGAAACAAAACATTGCTATAACCAATATGACTGATTCAGATTTCAGGATTCAGACGTAAAAACAAACGGTCCGACTGATTCAGACTTCAGCACCACCTCTTAAAATCAGAAGTGAAATTAAACTTCATATTTCAGCATCTCTTAAAAAACAAACGTCATCTTAGTTTTAGAGTGAATTACACTTTTGGTGTTAACTGACGGTGTTAACTTTAATGATCTTGATGCCATGAAATTGAAAAGTTACGACCGTAGTTTATTTTAGGGACCAAGTCGAAAATTTAAGCATACCATAGGGACCGTCGGTGTAATTCACTCTTTAAAAAAACAATAGAAGTACTGAAATACACAAAATCTCCTAAAACAAAATACAGGGGTAAAGATGTAATTTGCTATGGAATGAGAGAGATAGAGAGAGAGACATCCTACGGCTCTGCTAAGCGTCGCTCGACTCGATCACTTTTATCGCTTCTTCTCTTTCTCCGCCTTTTCTCCCTTCTTGTCTGAACTCTCTAAGCTCGGCTCCGATCCGGCTAAGATCCAGCTCCCACCATTTTCATACCTTTCTCTCTCCTTTTCAATCTCCCTCCTTTCTTCCCTCCTCTTCACAGACTTACAGTCCTGCACAACCTCAAATATGCATGTTTACACACCTTTCTGAAAGAGGGTTTGATGGAGGGGCTTCAAATGGCTCATGAGTGAGTTTAATTCACTCCAGTTTCATGTTTTTCTTGTTCGATTTTGTGTAATTTTCAAAGTTTTTAACTGTTTGGTTTTGCTGATTGAAGTTTGTAGAGATTGAGTGAGAAGATCCGTACTGGTGCCCCAAAAAATTTGTTAGCTCCTTTTAACTTCTCATGCAGTTTGGGGTAAGGTTCTATTGATTTATTGATCGAGTTCTTGCGAAACTGGATTAATTCATCGGTTTTAGTATGTTTATCCTTGTGAAGCTACTTTGATTCTTAAATTGGTTTTTGTACATTTGTCATTTGTGAATTCTGGTATTATATGATTACTTGTATTACTTGCTGGCATTCATCTTACACTTTCTGAGTAGTAACAAAACACAATTTATAAAGTCTTAATTTGGGGAAATGGATATAATGTTAACTCCTAATTGGTTCGGTCATACCAATTTCATCTGTGCTGTATTATCTATTTATGGCAAGTAAATGGTACCCACATTGTAACGTTATTTATTGTGGCATGGTATAAACAGGACCCATAAAATGGCTATGCAAAAATGGCAATATTTTAAATAAGATAAGAGCACATTGAGAGATGTTTATGAGAGGCCATATCTGTATGATCTCAGCTAGGCTTTATTTTTAGCCAACCCAATTAGTTTGGGATAAAAAATATGTTGTGGTATCGTTCAACTTTTAATTTTCTTTTGAAAAAGAGAGCAAAGGAAAGAAAAGGAAACGTAGGGCCTGTTTGTCAGCAACTTAATGAGCTTAACGAGACTTACTGCTTATTTGGTAAGCTATACATGCCTCTTTGGTAATGGCTTAATGATATAGAAAATGGCTTATTTAGTAAGCTTGTAGGGGGAAACTTTATGCTGAAAGCCAAATTGTTTCCAAACCTGTCCCTCCCAATTAAAAAATAGCTTCTTCCATCTATGAGAATGTCCTCCCAATCAAAAACCTTCCCAATTTATACAGACAGATTAATTTAACTGACAACTTTATTCATACAGGACTTAATGGAAAACCAACCAAGCAGCAGCCCCATAGACTTATAAGTTATAACTCAAGAATCTTTGTTGGTTCTTCATATGCCATGTTTACATGTTATGGTTCTTTGTTTGGTAATCAACATGTGAAGAGGGTTGTTTGCAAAAGATTTCAGGAATTGAAGTTATTTGAATGAGCCTTATGTCTAAAGCAGAATAGTGCACATTATGGTATGATATAACCAAGAATTTGGGCAATGTAGCATAGAGCATGAAAAAACTTGATGGGACATGTTCGCAAATGGGATTATATCTAAATATGTGTTCGGGACTTGTGCTGATCTTAAAGAACAGAATTATTTATAGCAACTTTGCTTTAAAGTACTAGGCTCGGAAATTAGTTTTAGCTGACTTCACATGCTTATTAGTTAAAGTTTCTTGTTATGTATGATCTTTTTTTTTGGTTTTCATCATTCATTATTTTCAAAATGTTAACATCCTTTATCTCATATTACTGCGTCAGGCAGGTGCAATTGGTGGGAAAACTGGAGCCTTAATGGATTGGAGTGTAAACACTTCCTACAAAAGCCTGAAAGGTACTAGTTGGACTTATTGTGGTTTTTGTACCTTCTTTATTTTACTCGGTTGTAATCAGTTTTGTTATTGAACATGATTCCAATTATATGATACGTGAACCATGAAAATTATTGCAATATCACATGCTTTAGCTAGTGCTCATGTTGCTAGAGCCCAGTAATGGAAGAGCAATGTTAGTAATGGGGATTTGATTATGTTCTTGTTTTATTATGGCATAGAGAGCCTGGCTTCAATAGATTGAAGCAGATATGTATCTACATAACCTTAATGTAGATATTTCTTGATGGGCTTTTTAAATTTTACTTCATGTGAAGTGACTATATTGTTTGAACGACATTATATTTGCTCATGGTGACTGTATCAAGGACATTTAACAAAACGAGTTTTGTAAAGAGCTAAACCTTGTACATACAAGTTGTTCCGTCATCATCCTAATTGTGATTGTTCTTTTAAGGGAAATTCGGTAGATACTATATACTCTCTCCGTTCCAATATAAGTGTCCGCATTTCTATTTTTTGTTTGATCCAAATAAGTGTCCAACTTTAAAAAATAAGTGCATATTTTCCTATTATACCCTTAATTATGAGATGGAGAAATTAATTACTCCCTCTATTATTATGGGTAAAAATGTCATTTAGTTCATTAAAAGTGTAGTATTTACACTTCTCTAAAATTGTGGGCATTTTTCGTTGTGGACACTTATTTTGGGACGGAGGGAGCAGATGAAATAAGAAACTAAGATTCTTTTTTTTTTCTTCCATACCATCCATTGTTTTCATTTTGTGGGTTCTGTTTATATGGTGTGAGCATGGTTATGGTCTTGTGGACCCCAATTTATTGGCTTGAGAAGAAATGAAAGTAACAAGCCCAATAAAATGATATAAATGAATAGAACCTAGGAATGACCAATTGATGGAAGTGTAATGTCCGTAACATAATTAGCATCGTCACTTGTAAGGGAACATGCATGAGATGTATATTGCAAGAGGAGCACAAGATGAGTTTAAAACTAGGAATGGTCCCCTAAGACTATTAGAACTTGTTAGATATAGTAATTTAGGGTTAGGATTTCTTGTTTCTACAAGTATGTTCCTTATTTAGGTTCCTAAATTTTATATAAATAATGTAATCTTCGATGAATGAGAAAATACGTGATTTCCTGATAAATGTTACATGGTATCAAAGCCTTCATTTTGGTGATGAAACCCTAGCTTTCATCATGTTGTTGTAGCTAGTGACGGAACCCTGACCGGTGGAAGATGGAACCCCAGCCGATCGAAAAATTCTGTTTGCATTTGGCACTATTGTTGTTCCATAGCTGTTGTGTTGGTTATAAACCTAGCAACCATCCTGTTGCCACCATCGTTGCTTCCTCGTCTTCTTGTCGTCTCCATCACCAGCATCCTTGAACGTCGTTGTCCCATTGCTTATAGTTACTTGTCACATGGGTTGGATTTGCTTCTTGCCGTCTACAGTAGGATAATTAGGATTTCAGATCTCTAAGTCCATTTTTATGGGGCAAATGGAAGCGAGGTGGCAGTGGCGTTTGCCTTATGGAATGCAATGGAACCACAATTGCTAAGCATCGCCCGTAACTATTCAGCCTAACTCTTCCTTCTCAGTTAAGGGAATCTTTATTCGATATTGAGGTCCTACTTTAGATGAGAGCACGGTGACTAAGATCTCACCACGTAACCACGCTAGCTTATTAAATATTAGGGGAACACCAAGTCCTCCTCGTAACCCCTAATGTTAAAGTTCAGGATGAACAGTTAGCTAAAATGGACTTGATGACGTTCATTGTAGGATTGTCTTCCAAATATTTTGGTTCTCACCCGTACTATTGAGTCACTCGGTCTTTTAGTCTTTGTCATCCACATATCATCCTACTCTAGAAAAGTACTCAAGTAACTCTCCATCACTGTTATTTGGAACTGCATATCAACGCTTGCAACTTCTAGTGTCCAAAATATTGGAAATGATGGAAGAAGGGTATAATAGCTAATAAGATCCAATTCTTTTATTGCAAGGAGTATGCACCCACCAAGTATAATTACCCAAATCGTCTTAGTTCTAGTCCTAGATCTCAGCCATTGCCTCGTTCTACTCGAGCGCAAGTAGCATTTGCGAATAATATCACGACCAATCATGTCGTCAATGACAAAGATGTTTATTGATTCTAGCATTGGTCTTCTAGCCACGTTCCATCTGCTTCTCGTGCTAGTACAACACAATGAGGATGACTTCTGCTTGGTTTTCTGCGAGCCTTCAAAGTCACCAAATCCAGTTCCCGACCCTTTTGAAATTCATGATTCCAATCTACAAATTTCAATCAAGACCCCAAAGATCGCCATACTGTGCCAAGACATACTTGATTCACAAATGTGTATGTTAGACAAAACCGAAGACAAGTGACTGAGACCAGGCTCTTTACCCGTACATCATGATTATGATGAGCCTCTCGATCCACCACCCGATACAACTCTCTCATCACCTACCAATGCCTTGTGACCCAGCTGGTGGGCCTTTACCGATCAATCAAACCAATTCATATTAAGACCAAATGCCAACTTATAGACGTTCTCACAAGCCTTTTCAGAAAGCACAAATAGATTTTATTTTTAACACGTTGAACATGGTCAACATCTTTGCTCCAACTTGAAGAGGAGTATTATATATAATAATTAGGGTTTGGCATTCTTGTTTGTAAATGTATGTTTCCTTATTTAGATCAGAAGTTGTATATGAAAAAATCTAAGAGCCTGTTTGTTAACAGCTTAATGAGACTCATAGTTTATTTGGTGAGCTATACATGACTGTTTGGTTGTGGCTTAAATCTTAATGATATTGAAAGTGGCTTATTTAGTAAGATTCTATGGGGAGCTTTATGCAGAAAGTCAAGTTTTGCAAAACTTGTCCTTTCCAATTAAAAAACATGCTCCTTCTATTCTATGAAAAACCCTCCAAACAGTAACCCTCCCAATCTATACAAACAAATTAATCCACACAGTCAACTTTATCCATACATGACTTAATGAAAAACCAACCAAACAGTCCCTAAGCTAGTTAGCTAGATATAACTTTGATAACTTGATAATATCATGTAGCCTTCTGACTTCAAATTGCTTCTTGCTATATAACATGTACAATTGTATATCTAAACTCTCGGTTTACTGGTGGTTATTAGTTATCAAAGTCACTATTCTAGGATTACAATGATCTTTTTTCATTCTTCCATAATTGGGTTTCTTAAAGTAGATATGGAATCCAAATCTGTGATGGATGTGGCACTCATTCCAAACATCGAACCAATAGATAGTGCACCAGGTACTTCGGACAAAGGAAATCATATGACAAAACCAAGAAAGAAGACTATGACGTCGGTTTACCTTAAATTTTTCGAAACAGCACCAGATGGCAAGAATCGCAGGTGCAAGTTCTGCGGACAGAGCTATTCAATTTCTACAGCCACTGGTAGTTCTTCTGCAATCTTTTTAAATTATACTCCCACGGTTCCAAAATAAGTGTCCATAATGAAAAGACAAAGTTTTAGAAATATGTACTTCTTACATTTTTAATTAACTAAATGACAATTTTACCCTTATTAATATCTTATAATTATGGATAGGATTGGAAAATAGACGCTTACTTTTTGAAGTGGACACTTATTTTGGGACAAGCTAAAATAGAAATGTAGATACTCCCTCCGTACCAAAATAAATGTTCCCGATGAAAAAGACAGGTTTAGAAATTTGTAATTATTAATTTTTTAATTAACTAAATGACAATTATAACCTTATTAGCATCTCATAATTAAGGGTAGAATTGGAAATTAGACGCTTATTTTTTGAAGATACTTATTCTGGGACAAACTAAAATAGAATTGTAAATACTCCATCCGTCCCAAAATAAGTGTCCATATTTCTATTTCAGTTTGTCCTGTTATAAGTGTAACTGCTTTCCAGTTCTACCTTAATTTAAGAAGGGTGAAATTGTCATTTAGTTAACTAAATAATGTAATAATTACATAGTTTTAAAACTGTCTTTTTCATCGTCCACATTTGTATTTTAGTAGTCCCAAAATAAGTGTAAATAACTACTTTCAGTTATACCCTTAATTACGACATGGAGAAATTTGTTTCTCCACCTATTGTTAAGGGTAAGATTGTCATTTAGTTAAATAAAACATGTAATAATTACGCATTCCTAAAACTCTGCCTTTTTCATGTGAACATTTATTTTCTGACGGAAGGAGCAATATGTAAAGTTCCAATTTGATCATGAAATTTTAACATATACACTTTCATTTCTTTTCATCTGAAGGCAATTTGGGCAGGCATCTCAGCAACCGTCATCCAGGATACGATAAATCGGATGATGGTGTCTCCACCCCAAACTCACAACCAATTATAGTCGTCAAAAAGCCTCAAACCCAAGTGAAAACATCTCACGTAGAACTCGACCACCTCAACTGGCTGCTCATAAAATGGCTGGTTTTAGCTTCTTTACCTCCTTCTACATTCGAAGAAAAATGGCTATCCAACTCCTTTAAATTCCTCAGTCCACCCGTCCAAATCTGGCCTGGCGAAAAGTTCCAAGCCGTTCTCCACGAAGTTTTCAGAAGCATGCGTGACGATATAAGGTCCACGTTAGAACATGTTTCCTCAAAAGTCTCGATCACCCTTGATTTCTGGACATCATACCAACAGATCTTTTATATGAGCGTTACTTGCCAATGGATCGACGACACCTGGTCCTTCCACAAAGTGCTTCTTGATATATCTCGGGTTTCTTCGCCTTGTGGAAGTGGCGAAATATATCACACACTAATTAAAGTCTTGAAGTTTTATAATTTAGAAACCAGAATTCTTTCGTGTACTCATGATAACAGTACAAATGCTGTTCATGCTTGCCATACTCTTAAAGACGATCTTGATAGCCAAAAATCTAACCCCTTCTGTTACGTTCCGTGTGCTGCTCGCACATTGAACTCCATTATCGACGATGGTTTGAGATCAACGAAATCAGTAATCGCAAAGATTAGGGAGTTTGCGTTGGAGATGAATTCATCGTCGGAGATGATGGAGGAATTCAGTCAATTAACATCAACTTATCAAGAAGGTAACTGGAAATTTCCGCTTGATGTTTCAGCCCGTTGGAGTGGCACTTATCAAATGCTCGATATTGTTCGTAAGGTATATAAATATATATAATTATATATATGTATGCTAGTTTTTACTTTCTTCCATTTTTGCCTTCGTTTTTCTTACCAAACGAAACATGGTTAGTAATAGTAAATCCCACCTAAAGGGTGAGGTTTAGGGGTATGATGTACACATACCTGACCTCTACCTCAAGGGTAGAACGACTAATTCCGTGATTTTGCCTTCTTTTTTCTTACAAAACCAAATGAGCCCGGTATATGTGGGGTCTAGAGGGATGATAAAAGGGAACATGATCTCTACCCTAAAGGGTAGAGTGACTTTTTCCATGATTTTGCCTTCTTTTTTTCTTAGAGTAAATTACTTTTTTCGTCCCTTTGGTTTGTTAAAAGTTGCTGTTTTTGTCCCTGTGGTTGAGAAATTGCGGTTTTTGTCCCTATGGTTTGTAGTTCATTGCTATTTTTGTTCTTATGATTTACAACTTATCGTTGTTTTGGTCCCTGGAGTTTACATTTCTTACAATTTATCATTGTTTTGGTCTATTGCAAACAATAGGGACTAAAATTGCAATTTATAAACCATAGGGACAAAAATGCAAATTATTAACAAACCACACGGACGAAAAATCATTATTTACTCTTTTTTTTTATCAAAGCAAACGAACCCAGTATATCCCACGGATAACCTCTACCTCAAAGGGTAAAGCGATTTTTTCCGTGATTTTGCCTTCTTTTTTCTAATTTTCAATGAATATTCAGGCCGGTAAATCTGCGGAAACTGTTATTAGGAAGCATGAAGAAACACATAGCAGGCTGCTGTTAAATTCGGCAGAGAAGAACGCGATCAGTATCATGCATACGTATCTGGAACCGTTCTACAAGACCACAAACGACATATGCACAAACAAGCTGCCAACCGTTGGGCTCGTTCTCTTCTTCATGGATCACATTTCTGAGACAATTACTGCTTGCCGAGAATCCCGTCACAGTCCCGACTGGCTTAAAAACGCTGCAGTTGACATGGCTGCAAAGGTGAGAAGCTACAACGATCAGGTTTCAAACATATTCACATATATGACCGCTATTCTCGACCCCCGGATAAAAATCGAACTCATTCCCGAAAGTCTCAACTTGGAGAACTATCTCGAGGAAGCAAGGAGCCATTTCGTTAGAAATTACTCAACTACCCATTTCCCTTCTATGGCTGCATCTTATGGCAGTACTCAAGAATTGGAGGATGGAGGGAGTAATGTGTCATTTGCCGAAGAAATCGCCCGTAAAAGACGTAGAGCGAGCATGGGCACCGCAACCGATGAGCTCACACAGTATCTCTCGGAGCCGCCAGCTCCGATTCCGACTGACGTATTGGAGTGGTGGAAAGTAAACAGCACTCGGTACCCACGGTTGTCGGTGATGGCTCGGGATTTCTTGGCGGTTCAGGCGACTTCAGTTGCACCAGAGGATTTGTTTTGCAGCAAAGGGGATGAGGTCGAGCGGCAAAAACAGCTGCTTCCAGTTTCGAGTATGCAGGCGATTCTTTGTGTTAGATCGTGGACGGAAAGCGGGATGAAATTGAAATATAAGTCTACGGAGATCGATTACGAGAGGCTTATGGAGTTGGCTGAGAATGGAGCAGGAGGTTTTGAGAAGAAACAGAAATGAGATGAATGGGAATGGGAATGGGAATGGGAATGTTAAATGTATATTTTTAAATAGCTGTGGTTATTTGTTGATGTACAGATTGCAGAGGATAAATATTCTATCTAACCCATTTCTTACCAACAAAACTTATAAATATTGTCTTATAATTTTTATAAATTAGTTTAGCTTTTACATAAATGAATAATAAGCGGGTGTTTGGTTAGAAGTATTAAGCAGTAATCAATGAGAATGAAAATAAAAGAAATTGTTTGGTTTTTTGTGATACAACGGGCTCATTCCTCCATACGCCCAAAATTTCATTCTTGGTTAAGCAGAGGGAAATGAAAGGATGTTCTGACGTTCTCGTAAAATAAAGGTGTTATCGTTCTCGTAAAATTTCATTCTTGGTTAAGCAGAGGGAAATGAAAGAGTGTTCTGACGTTCTCGTAAAATGAAGGTGCTATCGTTTGAACCCTTCCCTATATTCATAACTATTCATTTATAATTTGGATTGAGGTGATTTTCAACTGTTTCTAAGATGTACGTAATATTCGATGCTTGCTCAATAAATAATCAAATCGTTCCGATATGTAAATCTTTAATAAATAACCAACTTCAAAAAACAACCATCTTGATCCTAATTACATAAGAAAATGTTACTACATACATACACGAATCAAATTAACAGAACGTAAACAATTTGAAAACATAATAACCAAGTTCACAACATGCAGCATTATTGGTTACCGACATTTGATTCGATGGAACGGTTTTGAGAGATTTGGATTTCATGGAAGGATTTGGTTGACCTGTTAAGGATGACATGTCGTCATCATTAAATTTGTAAAAGTATTCATAGAAAATGTGACCAAAACTTAACAAGATACAATATTCATAGTAATAATAGAGTTAATATAAAATACCTATATTCTATATCCTATATTTTCCCCTGCCTATATGCTCCTTTTCCCACAGCCAAAGAAAAAAAACCAAGTTTCAAAAGCCTGATTATAATCCACCAGCAAATCAGAATATGGCACAAACAAACCCTTATTTTGAACAATCGGCAAAAATCCGTTCATGAACAATGTTGCGTTCGCCGGTCTATATTAGTAGGTGCTCTCGCCCATACTCCCGAACAATCACAGGCACGCTTGTCGGCGGGATCTGAAGCATGATATAACTAATTAGAAACATTAGGCAATCTAAGCATTCCAAGTGGTTTTACTTGAGATGCCATGAATGAACATATGGAATTATATAAAGAGAGAAAGGGAGAGGGAGTTTCAAATACAAACCATGTCATCCTTTCAAACTCTACAAACCAATCTCAACCGTACGTGTAGATAATCAATGGTGTGGATTGAATCGATTCCTACATTTCCTCTCAACCAAAACTGATTTATAACTGCCTCTAAATTTCAAACTAAAAAAAATCAAGGGTTGAAATTAGGTCTATAGGGTTTGTAACAATGTGTTGGTTTGTATAATAACCCACCTCTCTCTCTCTCTCTCTCTATATATATATATATATATTATAAGGTAGTATAGATATATGAGGGTATACGAGCTATGTCTCTAAATCTCTAATCATAGTGTGTGTGTGGTCGGCATGTACTTTTTCATGTTGAATTGACGATGGAACTATTTGTATATGGAGACGTGGTCATGCATGCATATGGGCACATTGACCAGGGCATGAGAAAGCGTATAAAAGAATTATTTTGGCATCAGGTCATTTAGTTAAATGACCTTATATGAGTTCTCAATCAGAAACATGATATTTTAAAAGAATTTAACTCAATAACCTTCAAATAACCTACATTTGGTGTTAAAACACCATGACTTTAGTGTAAAACAGTCTACCTCATAAAATCTTGAAAATATACTAGAAGGTTAAAAAGGTCATTTGGTTAAATAGCCCAAACTCTATGTCAGTTGGGTCCTTTGGATGATTGTCCTTAACAAAGTATTCTGGAATTCTTGAAAATTATTGTTCTACACTTCTACCATATTCTCAATTTTGTGGGTCCCATCCGTTTCACGTCAAGTAAATAGGACCCAGGATCACATTTTATTCATCTTCGCACCAAATAAGAGAAAATGAAAATGTTGACTTTTAAATGCCTAACTGAATGACATATACATATTCAGAAGGTTCCAGGTCAAGCAGACTAACCATGCCATGCTCAGTGACTATCATTGAGACATAATCCGACGGAGTCACATCATAACTGTTACAATTGCACATATTCAGACTCATTAGTAATAAGAAAGCTTCACATTATTTCAACTAAACAAATATTTTGCAAACTCACGCCAAATTCAAAAGTTGAAGATTTTCTTTGCCAGCCCAATCATCCAAACAATTATTCGTTCTTCCAGGAACCTTGGCTATGGCATCAGGATTGCCTGCAAATAATTTAAAGATGGAAGATGTAACAGATTGTTTCACCAAAAGATATCAAGAGTGTGTTTTTGGAGACGGGACTGAACAAAACACATGTGGTCCCACGTTTGGTGAGACACTAGACTGGGAAAGGACAGGACTCGGCAGCAAAAAAAGCATTTTTTTTGTCCCACCAAAATTGGTGGAACAAAAATCAGAAAGATGGGCAAGATTGGTAAATTACTAAACTACCCATGTCAAATTAAAACCCTAAAACCTTCTACGAATCTTTCACCGCCTACCTAACTCTCATCAACCTCAACCACAATTCAAGATTCGAGAACACTTGAATCTTTTGGTGCCAGGTCAATACTTAGTTATATAGCCTTCTTTTATGTAGATATATTGATTCTTTCACCCACCTGTCTCACTCTCGTCCGTCCAATCCACTCTGCATACCAAATGTACCCCAAAACCGCACCCCAAAAACAACTAAACAGAAAACAACAGCCATACCCAGCTCATTTGAACAGATTGAATCAAGTTGTACCCTTTCATGGAACTTGTATGACTCGCAACAAATCAAAACTGGGACATGGTGGGCATGAGCAACCATAGCAATACAGGCAGTTCCAACTGTTGAATATACTGTTCCATTAGACAATACAGAAGCAGCCCCCAGAAAGATTCTTGTAACTTCATGCATGATATAGGAAACCGCATTTATATGGGTATATGTACAACTGAAACCCTTTTCAACCAACCTACGAAGTAGTTGTTGACCTTCAAGATTCGGGCGTGAGTCGACAACTACAACTCGGAATTGCCTCCTAAGTTCATGAGCATGCAATAGAATCATTTCGACGAGAGATGATGAACCATATGTGAGAAGAACATCTCCATCGCGGATTTTTGTAACTGCGTGTCTGACTATTACCTTGTCTGCAAGTACTATCTTCTCGTTTATGTAACGATCAATGTCTGAACACAAAAAGGTTTTTGCTTCTGACTCAGTTTGAGCCAATGTGATCTTTGCAATACGGGATTTTAGAAAACGAATTGCATTTCCCATACTAATTGAAAGGGGTCTGCATTCTATCAGAAACGAGACAGAGCTGTTGATCTTTGAAGTTAAATCTCTAGCAAGGGTTTTCTCGGATGGTGTTGAGTAGTCTTCGATGACTTTCTGAAATGCTTGAAGCATTGCAATACAACGGGTATTGCTCCACATTATATCCCCAGCAAGAAATTGTAAACCAACCTATGGAAAAGCCATCATACAATCATTAGCATTACTTGATCCCTGAAGCTTGACTGTCTTATATATAAAAACAAACCCAGTATATCCCACCCGGAGGTGGAGGTGAGATTTTTTCTTGGGGGGTGGGCGGTGGGTTGGGGTGTTGGGATGCGCGCAGACCTGACCTCTACCTCAAAAGAGTAGAGCGGTTTTCTGTGAAGACCCCAAGCTTCTGCAAAGTGTGCGAAAAGAAAGGATAAAACTTGCTCAAAAATTCCTGATAAAGAACATAAGAACTTGAAAATAAGAAAGGCAGTGCTAAAAAATGTGAAAACGAGTTAGGAGCAAGCAACAACACACAAACAGGCAAGCAAACAACAAATAGTAACAAACAAATAGGTACAAGGAAACACAACCAAGATAGGGATAACTTACACATCCTTAATCTAACCTAAGACTCACTAGCTTACTAACCTTACCCCTAACCTACCTAAGGGGCCGTTTACCAAACACTTACCCGGTAAGCGCTTACTGGTAAATTTAACACTATCATTTACTTACCGGGTAGGATTTTAGTCCATCAAAACGATATCGTACGCAACAATTTACCCGGTAAGCACTTACCGTGGTAAGAGTCATCACCCTCATTTATCGGGTAAGACTCTTGGTCTTTCTCTCGCTCTTACCGGGTAAGATTTTTGGTCCTTATCATATTCATCCGGTAAAGTAATGAGACTTGGTGTTCACTTACCCGAGTAAGCGTTGGTAAACAGCCCCTAAGACTCACTGTCTTCTGTACATGCCTTAAAATCGACTGTTGACGGGTCCTTTATTAACTAAGTGAACTGTCAATTATTAATTTTCAAAAGCAAATAGAGCATGCAGCAATTGGATTAAAGTTCTATGATTAGCAAAAAGCAGTAACTTTAAACAAGGTACATTGCATACCTTGTAAACAGCAGGATGCACATGATCAAGTTGGAAAAACTTTGACTCAAGATCAGAAAGCTGATTTCCACGTTCATATTGAGGTAAATGCCTGAACAGTTCAACTCTATTTCTAGCTTCTGTCTGTTTAGTCACTGATCGCTTTTTAGCTTTTTCAACACGGCTCTTGTCATCAAACTGCATGCGTGGAGGAGGCATATCTTTCTTTCTATCTTTCTCTGGTGGTTTGTCACCACCTTTCCTCTCAGGAACTATAGTCGAAGAAACCATCGGAGGACCATCTTTCTTCTGATTAGGCTTGTTTACTGGTTTACTTGTTTGTGCAGGAGCTGACATGCCTGAAGTAGTGCCAGGCTTATTGCCTTCAGCCACTGACAGCATATCAAAATAAAATTAATGAAGAAACAAAAAAACAATAGGTGCATTTGCATAGCAACCGAATCTTTTAACAATATTCTAACGTGATCTCATTCTTAAACATGTAAAGTTGTATCAAAAAACATCAAAAAGTGAACCTCATAAAGGTTACATGTTAATAAATTGCAATTTAGAGCAATGCTCTGGAAAGGAAGCTCCATTGCTGAGAAAATGGAATTAATGATATAAAAATCGTAAATTACATGTACCCTCACGTTGGAACTAAAGCTCTGATGCACTAACGATAAGAATTACCTTCTTACCAAAGGGTCTTTGGCCTAGCGGTATGTGAGTCTTTGACCTCCTAGAAGGTTAGGGGTTCAAACCTCACCTTTCCTCACCAAAGGTGAGAAGGGTATGTGAGTTTATTTGTTCTATTTGCCGTATATAATTATTATATCCTTAAAAAAAATCCCTTCTTTACAAAAATAAAGTGTCAACCATTCAAGATTCAAACAGCAACTTATTATCATTTAAAGAGGGAGGCAGTGCCTGTACTAGACCTCTATTGTCCCGGCATAGTGGAGAAATTTTCAAGTCTCTTAAAGGCGCAACTGTTTTAATTTGATATGTGCTCCTCTAAGTTATAAAAAAAAAAAAAAGTGGCTGCAGTACCTACTGGTAGTGTCATTGCAATTTGCATGTGAGATTAGAGGTTGCAAGTTCAGATCCCTTTGGCTCAAAGAAGTGCAAGAAGTAGGAAACACCCACTTGACTCTTGAGTGTTGCAAAAAAACAATTGTATGTTATTTTTAACTAAAACCTACTTTTTATAATTAATTTATGTTTTTTTTTGATATTATGCTAATTATTTTGTGCCCCAGCTTAGAAATTTTCTGGATCCGCCTCTGCTAATTGGCATCTGAAAGAAGACTGAGATAGGAGGCAGCCTATTTAAATCATAAGAAATGTTAAAGCACTTGAATAAGCATTCAGACATGTGGAAGGAGTGCTCATTGTGTAACAGGTACTGACATTTTTACACAGCTTGACTCGCTGCCTGAAGTTTCTAGCAACTAGGCCCCCCCAAACCCATGTAAAGAATATAGTTAGATTTTAGAAGTCCCTCTTTCCATACAAGATAATATTTTGCTTTATCTACAAGCACTTAAGCTAATTCCTATTATTAGAAATCTTATAGATGCTTAAAATATAAAAGCAGTTATAGAACCCTCGTGACTTCTAAAAACACACATTTTGAATGTCGCCTATCCCACAGAGCAGAATTGATATTTATGAGCACGAAACCTCTTTTGGTAACAATGTATGAATGTAGTCGAATTTCTATTACAACGTATAAGAAACAGTAAATACCAGAATGAAAAAGATTAGGATTTCAATATCTTATATATGTGAATGTAGGGTATAATAGTGGATCTGTGGGCCAAATCTAGAACATTGGAATAACCTAAACAACAAGCCAACAGTAATGAGCGGATTATATGATGTCTCTCTACTAAGTCTCCCCCCCCCCCACCTTTCCCTAGGACACCACAATTTACCTCCCTCATGAGTCATGATGGACATGAAACAACGTTGGGGGGACTCTAGAGGGTATAGTGAGCTCTTTTTCCACAACTTGTCAAGCAAAATAGAACTCACACTTCAAAACAGATATGTGACTCAACAAAAGACCCGATCTTCAACACTCGGATGAGCTATTTCCCCTCCCATATTCAATAGACTTGGAAGAAACAGAGTGCCAGATAATAAATGGCACACACCGAACCAATCAGGACGAAAAACAGAGTAAGAAGGAAAAAGGTGAACCAGACTAAGAACAAACCAAGCATCCAAGTGAGTTGTCACCAATCAGATAAACAAATAAAATTTAAGCAGATTTTTGGAAAAGAAAGCCAACACATATTGAAAAATCTCAAAATTTTAATAGCAATGCAAATGTGCCATTATGAAATATAAACTAATATGCATCACATCCAAATYGGGTTAGCTGCCAAAAAGCAGAGTTACTTTTGATGTCACAAAATCAGGATATGACAATCATTTCAGGTCCAATTAAATCAGAATATCAGGCTATTTCCTATCAGTTGAGAAAATCTTGATTCATCTTCCTTTTAGCAAATTATAATTGGTGCAATGATGCATAATCGCATGTTTAGTGCAACTAAACTATTCTCTTTCCATCCCTCAATCAACATGTGCTTCTTGACTTATAAATGTTGTTTTCGAAGTTCATTACCTTGCTTTTTGTTAAAAGATGGTGTAT